GAACAGTTAGCAAGAAGCCTGCCATGGCCATACAGTTTGTATACGATATAAGTCTCTGTGTTTACTTGGTTGGGTCTGAGCAGCTGTGGGACTGGCGGGTGACAAAGATTTGTCCTGACTGTGGGCAAGGCAGAAAAACTCTAGCTACAAATAAACTTACATGTGAATGGTTACAACTACCTGTCACATAGTACACAAGTTTGCTCTGTAGTTGTGAATTATTTAGAACCTGAAACTCTCTGTTAGATTCTATCTTGTGTGATTCTGTGATGAGTAAAGCCTAATAAATGCACTCATTTCATTATAACACATTTATGTCATTTAAAAAAATTAACCTTTAATGGTTTTCTCAAAATAAGTCGCAATACAAAATATTTAAAACTTGCTCAGGCTGTTGGAGGGGTGTCCCATGAGTGTGTACGTGTCCCCACAGCAAACTTTATCATCCTAGTTAGGGTTTCAACTGCAGCAAGGGAGCACTGTGACCAAAAAGCAAGTTGGGGAGGAAAGGATTTATTTGGCTTATACTTCCATATTGCTGTTCATCCTGGAAGTCAGGACAGGAACTCAAACCATGCAGGAACCTGGAGGCAGGAGCTGATGCAGAGGCCATGGAGGGGGGCTGCTTAACTGGCTTGCTTCCCATGGCTTGCTCAGCCTGCTTTCTTATAGAACCCAGGACTAGCAACCCAGGGACAGAAAGAACCACCAACCATGGACTGGGCCCTCCCCCGTTGATCACTAATTTCGAAAATGCCTTAAAGCTCAATCTCATGGGGGTATTTCCTAAACTGAGGCGAAGAGTCTGTCTGGCTTGTGTCAAGTTAACACAGCCAGTACACTAACAGTAGGAATCAGTGGCACATTTGTGTTTTTAGACCTAGAACAAACTAAGGAACCCGAAAGCACTCAGTTACCTAAGAAAATGGGGACAGATATTTGTACTAAAATATTAGAATTGTATAAAAAGAGTATGTACAAAATGGAAGAACTTGTAAGAGTAGTGGTTGATGATACCCTAGGAAAGCCTCATAGAAAAGAAATTTAAATGAAAGCTTAACTTATGAGGAAGAGTTTCTATGTCAAATTTCAAACCACAGGAGGAAGATCGCGCGAGGTATTGTGTTCAAAGAAGGGCAGTGTCTCCTCTCTGTGGGTCAGGTTAGGTGAATGCATAAGGCAGAAACCTTACTAAGTTGTTACAATATATAAGCACCAGCATTATCTTTTGAAATATTGCTCTTAATTAGTATATTAAGTAACGAGTTTCATTATGGATTTTTTAAATGCATATTTTGTTTTTGTGGATTTCCCTCCCTTAGTTCCCTATCAGGGGTACAAGTCTCTGTTGGAAGTTGCTTGTCATTGGCTCACCTATTTTTCATTAATTGCTGCTATATTTATAGAATTCTTAGGGTAAAACTGTAATGGATACAGTGTACATAAGCCCTACACAGCTTCCTGTGTTCCAGAGATTTCCGTTCAGATGAGAAGAGCTGTTCAGTCTGCTCCTTGACCAACCTGGGCAAGGATATGAACAGGATTGGGGTACAAGGCTGCAAACTAACAGCAAAAGCCTGGCTTGGAGCAATGCAGTGTAGAAAAATGCAACAGAACTCAACTCATGACCCTAAGGCATTCACTGCTTCAATATGCTGGACACTGTGTCAATTTGCATTTACCCGGCTCCTCTGAGTCATCAAGAAAAATTACGTCATAGAATTTTATAATCAGGCTGGAACTCAGAGGTTGTCATGTCCCTTCTACCCAAAATTCACAGCCGCAAACTAAGACCCAATTCTCCTTTTCTGCGGAGAGGGAATTGAATCAGTTCTTGTGAGGCAGCTCTCATTTTATATATCTCTGAAGGTGTAAAAGTCTCCATATGGTGCACTGAAATCTGCCTTCAGGATTACTTCCTCCCACAGGGAGTTTCTGAGGAGATGGGATAAAAACTACTCTCTTCTGTTCAGGCCCTAGGATTCTACTTGACATAAGAGGAAGGGGTAGAAAAATGTATCTACAGACAGTTTCAACCTTTAAAAATCTCAGCTATATGAAGAAAGTTCCTAGCAGGCACCATATCACTAGCTTAATTCCATACTTTATGCCAGCCTGCAATCATGCCAGCATAGAGATGGTTTTCTGATACATTTACAAATACACTCACCCAGTGACATGTTCTCTCTTTGAGGATGCAAAGTCAATGTCCTCAAATGACACACAGCCAGTTTTAGGCCTATCCTTAAGTCAATCTTCTTTAATTTGAGATAGAAGCAAAAGATGTTGAAAAGCTCTTCTGAAGATAGGACAGAAGGCCTTCCACACCTGTGCTTTCCTCCTGTGACTGGAAGTGTGGTTTGAACAGGTATGCCCCCATAGACTCATGTGTTTGAATGCTTGGCCTATAGGGAGTGGCACTATTAGGAGGTGTGGCTTTGTTGGAGTAGGTGTGGTTTTGTTGGAGTAGGTGTGGTTTTGTTGGAGTAGGTGTGGCTTTGTTGGAGGAAGTGTGTTATTGTGGGGGCAGGATTTGAGTTCTCATGTATGCTTAGGCTATTCCCAGTGTGGGACAGTTTACTTCGTGTTGCTTGCAGATCAAGATGTAGAACTCTCAACTGCCTTTCCAGCACCATGTCTGCCTGCATGCTGCCTTGTTCCCGCCAGGATAATAATTATTGAGAGCTGCTGGTAACAAAAGACCATGGGAGTATACAGCAGGTGACAACTAATGCTGAAAAGGTCAACCTACCAGAACCATTATGGAGGAAACCATTATGCAAGGTGTTATGGAATTACTGCCTTTTGAATGAACTGGCTGTCTCTTGTTGTAAACTTCTTGTGCAATAACAGCTATGATTCTCCTTATTTACCATGCATTTCCATGTTGTGTGTACATTTAACCTCATGATTGCATCTCAATCTTAGGGGCACAAATGATTATAGACAGTCAAAATGGTTTCTTATTTGTCTGTACAATTTTATGATTAGAAACATACTAATATATGCTTCATAAGTATGTCTATTGTTTCATGTAGACTGTAGACACTTAGAGGTCTTATTCTCTATCCTTAGGCACTGACAAGGAAAAATTGGCCACACAAAGTGTCCTTGCAGAACCTTCACAGAGTGGAATTGCAGATGCCTGGCCTTGTTGGATCAAAACCCCTTCAGAAGAATTATAGTGAACTAGAAGTGATAGTGCAGGTGTCTGGCCTTGGTATATCTCAGTCCTTCAAGAGATCAATAGCACCTGTGTTGCCCTAAGCTTCCTCCACCAGCACCTCCCCACTCTGACTCAAAAAAAAAATAACACTTTGTATCTATTTCTACACCAGTTTTTAATGCAAGATTTTAGGCTCAGTAGACTAATTATGTATAGGTCCTGAGATACAGGTGATTAACAGAAAAAGGCTGTTAACTGACTAACCATGTCTGGATATTATTAATCACATAAAATAGTACACGTATTCTTTGCCTTTTCCTTAAATCTCTCTTTGGTTTAATTTCTTCCCTTGTAACCCTTGTAGCTATCACTTTAAGAGATAGTCAGAACTTTTTACAACCTACAGCTGTTGTCAGTCATCAATTGAGCTAACCAAGTATTCACCAAGTGTGACTCTTATCAGAATACTTGTCCCTGAGAGTTTACTTTGAGTTTTTTGCTAGCAAGTTGTTAATAAATGGATACACACACACACACACACACACACACACACACACACACACACACACACGCACACACACACACATGCACATATGCTTGGGGGAACAAAGAGAAGACCAAAGAAGGACAGAACTAGGTAGAATAATGAGGGAACAGCAGAAGAGATAGAGAGGAGCTAAGAATGAGAACAGAAAAGAAAATGTGTAGATCAAATTGATTTAGAAGAATAAAGTGAATGGACTAAAGAGCTCTGTGTGTTTAGATTCATTTGAGATCCCTCAGATTAACATCCTAGCCACTTATAGCATCTGTTCTGGACCCTGGTAGAAATCTCCTCAGGACAGGGATCTGTGGAGAATTTGTTAGGTAATGAACTAAACCTCTGAAACTGTAAGCTGGCCTCAAATAAATGTTTTCCTCTGTAAGAGTTGCTGTGGTCACGGTGCCTCATCACAGCAATAGAAACCCTGACTGGGGAGAGAATAAAGGGTCTCTTAAGTTCAGTTCGCAGAGAAAGCACTGGAACAATCTCAACTACTTCCCATGTTCTCCTAAGTCTAACTTACCTCATGAGCTCCTTGTTTTCACACACGTGCCATCACAGAGCATCTAAGTTTATAAGATCTTTCTGTTCTGTTCTTAACAACTCTGTTTCTGTTTCTGTTAGAATCCCCTTCTCTTACCCTCCACTCCCCTCTGCTCTGCTCCCTTTCCCTCTCCTCCTCCTCCTCTTCTCCCCCTCCCATCCTCATTATCCTGTTTTGTCCCTCAGGATGACCACAAACTTATGGTTCTCCTGCCTCATCCTTGAGTAGCTAAGATTAACAAACTATGCCCCAGCTTCTGGATTTCTCTCCTTTCTGCTACTCAGAAGTGCACCTGTTTCTTCATGAACTTCCAACTACTTTTAGGGCCAGAATCATTCTTCAGGGAGCTAATATGTAAGCTTACATAGTATGTCACACATTGAACTAGGGTAGAAGAGTAAACAAGAATAGTAATAGAATTTAAATCTTTGCTCTCACACTACTAAATAGTCAAATGATGTAGCCTTATAAATAAGTGGTTTGGGGAGAGGGTGTTCTGTGTTGAGGTACTATACAGGGTGCTGTAAGGACCCATACAAGGAAGAGCTGATCTGGAAGGAGAAGAAAAGGCTGAGGAAGAGGACTAGCAGATGCTAACTGCATTCATGGTTGCATGTACACAGAACAACACAAGCAGCGTGCTTCATAAAATACAGAGACGAGAGAGCAGGCTATGTTCAGAGACCGAAAGAAATTGCTCATGACTGGAATGTGAAATGGGGGTATCAAGAAGTGGGAGTGGATGCAGAATAGAATAGCAGGAGGGAGATCACAAAGAGCCCTTAGAGCCACATTAAAGTCTGGGCTTTGGGCTAGTAACAGTGTAATCTTACTAAAATGCTTTAAGCAGGTGGTAGCATGGGATATGGTGATATAACACTGGATTCTTTGAGACAAAAATATTTGAAGTATCAGATTGGTAGCTGAAAATCTAGTAAAGATTGTGGGATGACCCAGAGAGAGACGGTAATCTTGGTAGAGATGGAAGGAAGTGGTTGGATTGGAGATACATTTAAGCAATATAGTCAGAGAGCATAGTTCTTGGTTTAAAGCTGAAGGTGGTACAGAAAAAGGAATTGAAATTAACCCGCAGGCTTCTGACTCGAGAATCTGAATGACTGGAGGAAGTGGAGTGGAGAAGATAAAAGACAGCACACTTGAGGGGATGTTATGAGTTCTCTTTACAGTTGCCTAAATGTGAGACGACTTGGAAGTCCAAGAAAATATACAGCCAGTTGCTTAGCATACAACTGTTTATAGAAGATTAAGATTTCAAGTCTTGTGGTAAAGATCTCATAGTTTTAGTAGCAGTCGACATTTGGGGATTATTTCAGATCGCCAGGGATACTGTGCAGTGAAAAGAGATCTGGGTGTGAAGCAGAAACTGTTAAACCCTAGCTAGGGGCTTTGCAAAGGAGCTGGAGCTGCTGTAGGCAGTGATAGGGAAAAAGCCCAGAGGAGTGATATCATGGGGGACAAAGACAAAAAACTTAAAAGAGGGACATCCTACAGAGTCTGTACTTGCAAGAGGAGACAAATACAGCAAAAATAGTAATGGAGCTTTCCAATTTGCTTCATGAGGTGAGGAGGTGGAAGTCCAGATTAAAGGGCAGAGAATCTAATCCCAGGGAGGGAATTGTAAGGAAGTGGGCATAGAAGGACAGAGTCAGACATTTTGTGTTGCTCTAGAAGAGTATCTCAGACAAAATAATTTATAATGAACAGAAATTCATTTGTGACAGTTCTGGAGACTGAGCAGTCCAGAGGTCCATGGTCTATTAAGGCCTAGCCTTTACTTCCAACAGGGCAGCTTGAATGTTAAGTGGCCTGGAGGGCAGAGACATTATTCTTCAAATTGTATCAAATCATAAAAGCAGGAAAAGAACACTCATTCCAGGAAAAAAAAACTTTTAAAAGGAGCTAGTCACTCCTGAGCGTAGACTCCTCATGGACAAGTCACTGGAGATCTACAGTTCTCAGCACCTTAATGCTGCTATGACAAAAGCAAGTCAGTGCGAGGCTTGCGGAACCCAAACATACACACCACACCTGAGGGGCATGTAAATTTTACTTTCAGTATGTGTGGGGGTATTTAAATTTTTTCGCTGCTGTGTATTCATTGTACATAGGGCTGGTGCTCCTATAGAAAGTATCTTTCAAGTGTGACATGTGCTTTGAGTGCCTTCACTCTGCTACCCTTCCTCTGCTTTAGAACCACTCACTACCTTTCCCGTTCCCATCGTCTCTTCCTTCGCCCCGGTCTCACTTCTCCTTTCGTCATTCTGTGTATAGTGTATCTACAAAGAATTCTAGTGCCTACAAGTGAGAGAACACATATGAAGTGTGTCTTTGTGCATGTGACTTGTCTTCCTTAGCCAGTGATCCTCTACTGCGTCCATTTTTGTAAACAACGGTTGTGAGCAGATTTATATGCTTCAGGACACAACCAGGAAAAGAAGACACTACAAAAACAAGGGAGGGAACACAAACACTGTAAACAGTCATGAGAAGAGAAAGAGGGGCAGAACAGGAAACACTAAGGGGATAGGGGGCTGGAAGCTGGATCGTTTCATCCTTGCTAAATATCGAAACCACTCCTATCCTATGAGCTAATGCTTCGAGGCATCGATCTTTGATGGCCTTGTGAGTAGCGAAAACACAACCCTTTCTATTCCACTTTCCTATGCAGAAATTTGACCGTAAAGATAGTTATCTAAGATCAACCACTGGTTGTGGTGCATTGTCGATCTCTAGTGTGAGCACATATGGCCCCACCTGCTCCATCTATGGGATGGCTTCAGGAGCTGCAGCTAGCAACAAATCAGCCATTTCACAACATGGGGTTTCATTAAACAAAAATAATTCCCATCAAGTTAATACATAGTTTTAAGGAAAAGTTAATTTAAAAAGAAAAAAAAAGCAACCATGTAAGAATAACTGTAGGCTTAAAAGAACAACCCAGCAAGCATAAAACCATAGTTCTTGTAATAATATGGCCCTGATAAGATAGGAAATGTGGTCACTAATGCCCAACACTCTAACAACTGAACCTGCTACACATGTCTGAAACATACAAACACACACACACACACACACACACACACACACACACACACACACATTGATGATAGTTGTAGTGATGTAATACTAGTGGGTATTTATTTCATCTGCCTCTATGCCAAGTAGTACTTTAACTACCAAAGATATGTGTTAATTAATTTAAATCCTTGAAATAACCTTAAAAAATAGGAAACAATGAATTTTATTGATTTTTTTTGTATATTATGCTCATATGACAGAAGAAGATTTACAAATAAGTGCAGGAAGAAAGGAAGCTGAGTCCATATCATAGCTGAAATGGCCAACCTTAGCTCATCTTATCAAGTTCATAGTCTCACACTCTTTTTTGTGCAGACGCCACTCTGTGCAGAGACTGCAAATGGTCCCCTAAATAACAAAGTCACAGCCCTGTGTTCATCTGCTTCAAGCAAGTTACATAACTATCTGCCCAGAGACTATGTCTTTTAAGATCCCTTTCAGCTAAGTGCCTGTATATATAATGTTCCTGGTAATGAATAGAGTATTGTGTCACGTGAAAAGCTATCCCTTCCCCCATCTCACCTCCACATTTTGTTTCTTCTTCCATGGGCTGGAAGATGTTCACAGATAAAAGAGAGTTCCAATCAAATGGACAAGTGCCACCCCTCATGGATAATAGAATGCTAGAATAAGGAACAAGATCTCTAAACAAATTCCTAGATGCAGGGAAACCATGCTTGATGTGTTAGGTAAAAGCCACAGTAGTCTCTGGTAGTGAGTAAACCACTATCTTGTACCTTAACTAATACAGATCACCTTTTAATAATTTATTGGTTGCCAATATTTTGCCCAAGGGAGGAAGAATTAACATTCTTAGAGTTGTTATCCTTTTAATATTTATTTAGCAATTACTATTTAATTAATAACTATTTCATTATAATTTTATTCACTATAAATTTACCTTACAAATGCAATTGTTCCAAGTTTGGATAATCATGCAGTTGTTGTCAGTCAGCCTCTGAAGACTGGGTAACTCAAGAGGCAGATGCAATGAAGTGAGAAATTTAGTTTAGTTTCTCATTCTGCAAGACTGAGAACTGGAATGGACAACAGTGGAAAAAAATCACTTATCTTCTAAGACATAAGCATCTCACCTTTTCTTGACAGGCCAACTCAACTTCCTCAAGGACTACTGCCAATGAACAGTCAACCATGATGGCAACTGCTACGATTGATTTTATTTCCCAAGTATGAAAGAAACACAAATAAATATTGACACATTTTCTTGTGTTATTTTAGAAATTCACTATAATGCTGCACACCTGTAATTCCAGGATGAGGTGGGAGGATCACTTGATTCCAAGAGTTCAAGACCAACTTGAGCAACATAGAGTGATTCCCATCACATTTACAAAGCAAAACAAATATTAATAATAATAAAGTTCTATTGTAATTTATACTTGATAATAAATTATCAGTTGTTTTACATTATTTAACCTGATTTTTAGAAGCACATATTAATTATAGGACTCTACATTTTGCACTGTGTTGTGAACTTTAGTCTTTCTTTACTTTTTGTATTGACTTGTTCCCCTTAGAAATTGGTTAGGCTGCATGGGAAAGGAAGTGGTTATTTGTGTCAATTCTTTGTTATAATAAGGTAATGTGCTTTATTTGGCAATAAAAGCTGGACAGCAGCTGGCAGTCTAAATTCATTTTCAAATATCTTGGCAAACAATTGAATCTAACCCCCATAAAAACTTGAGCAGACCTCAGATGGCTGCGTCAGGGCCACTGAAAAATTAGATGTTCCAAAATACTCTTTCCAGGATTTGTATGTTTTGAGGATTTCATTTTGTTTTTACAGTGAAATAATATAGAAAAGACATTTTGGAGTACACATGCATTAACTATATAAGGGGCTCAAACCTGACAATCTAAAGTCACTTTCCACTTAACAACAAGACTTTGGATAAAATGATCATATTACTAACGAGGTCATTGATCGCTGTTCAGATGTTTAAATATTAGAATTGGAAGCATTGTAGCGAGACTTCATTAGTTTCATCATCTGTCTCAATGAAGAGCATTTGTTTTGTTTGTTTGTTTCTTTGTTTGTTTTTAGATGCCATAGAATCTTTAATTATGTGGCATATCCCAGAAGGTTCTATTTGCCTCTCAACTGAGTTGTGTTTGGTCATTTTTATCATCCAGGGAAAAGACATAGCAAAGGAGACTACACTGCGAATTTTCTCTAAGAAACAGTTTAAAGGAACAGTTTATAATAGGTAGCAATGCTCTCAGCATTTGGGTTGGTAAGTCGGGCGGAGCTGGGCTTACGTGAGAAAAGCTTACAGTTCATTCAGACAAAGCAAACCCTGATCACTTTGCCGAGATTGACACTGGTGTTCTGTTTAAAGCGTCCTGGAAACAGAACATAGCTGCTAGGAAAGCACGCAATTCCTAATTTCAGGGGAACGGACATCCTTACCCTAAACTTGACACTGCTTAGATTACATTAAAAAGCAACAGATTTCCTTAAGATACCTCGATAGTCTGCAACAATATTCAACAATTGCTGAAACACTGAACCTAAAAGAGAGGTCAGTAAATTAATGATGGAAAAAACTTCTCTAATTTTACTTTCAAAACAGTTGTGACAGGGCATAGAGACTCTTAACTGTGATCCTAGCACATGGCAGAAGAATACAGGTGCAGGGTCACCTTGGCCTACACTATGTAGCCACTACGTAAGTGAGCCTCGAAAGAACCCATATTCATAGCAAGGCCCCGTCTCACACACCACACACCCCACCCTCCAAATCACCAGCATTGGTCCAAACCCCTTATTTTTCTGTAAGATTAAAACCCCCAAGAAGTTGCAAGAATTTCATTGTGAACATACAATGTCTTTCACAAGGAAGCTACTAAAATTTGTTAAAACAGAATCAAACCATAAAGGCGTCTGGGAATAGAAAAGGTTTTCCGGACTTCTGGGAAAGTGCAAGCACTTATTCATGCCAGGTAGAAGAAGATCAGACTACAGGAAATCATTGACAAACTTTTTGGGTTGTGTGTGTGTGTGTGTGTGTGTGTGTGTGTGTGTGTGTGTGTGTGTTTTGTTTTGTTTTGTTTTTTTAAGTGTGGTACCAGTTATAACAGTGAATCAGAGTCACTGCAGCCAGCGAGTCTGGACAGTCATTACACCACTGGGAATGCTGAGTTTGTTTCTGTAAGGGAAAAAAAAAGACAGAAAAAGACAAGAAAAGAAAACAACAGACATGGCGCTTGTATTTAACCAAATTATTCAAATCCATGAGTTGTACCAATGACTTTGGAGTTCAAGCCGCTCTGACTGGAGAGGTGAAAGAGAATTTCAAATCCATAGAAATTTACAATTTCTCCCAGTTTTAAGAAAATAAGGACATTTACTTTACGAGAAAAAGAAAAATGAAGTGTGATTGCCCATCACAACCCAGACAGTTTCTAAAGTGCAGCCTCCTGCCAAAATAACCAAAAGGTTCACATACTTCAACACACGAAAGACTAACACTTCATGGCCATGATATTCCAGGCAGTGTGTGCTATGTTAACACTTTTATAATGGTTACATTTAATCCTCAGTACGATCCTATTAGGCAGAAATTATTATTGCCATTTCCACTATGCCACAAAGCAAAAGTCAGTATATATTGGTTAGACAGTAAAAATGGCTTCATGTAATTTTATCTGAAAAATTAACACAGCAGATCTCTACACAGCTACCCACTTTAACAAGCCTGACACCAAATGCAACTTATCATTGAATTTGCAGCTCTACGCATTGACTTTAGTTTGGTCTCTAGTTTTGCCCGCCTTCTACTTGTTTTTATATCCACAAACCAGGTCACAGGGTGCCAGCTCAAGCCCAGACGCACCCTTATGATTTCCATATGTTCATCTACAAAAGAGGATATACTATCATCCATGGTTTATGAGCTCATAAGGTCACTGTCCAGGTTGTCCCAATATAATATAAGGGTTCTTCTAAGATCTGAAAAAAACAAACAAACAAATAAACCCAAGAAAATCAACTCCCATCTCCACAATCCATTAGTGTAACATATCTCAGGTAACTCCGCAGCTTTAGATTTTCTGACCTGAATAACTATAAAACTTACATTTGCGTAATTTAGGCCCCATTTGTCATGAAGCACTGGGAAAGGCATTTAGGGAGCATTAGCACCAATTCACCTCTGCTAATCTTGGTTCTGGTTTTGAGCTTTACATCTGGTAAACCAGTCTTCATTTATTTATTTATTTGTAACGTAATATTTTTACTGTGATTATTTGGGAACTTCACATAATGCAATCTGATCACCCTTACTTCCCAGTCCTTCCAGGTCCACCACCCCCACACTTGTGCCCTACCACCAAAAAATAAAAAATAAAAATAAATAAAGCACGTCCAGTTTGTGCTGCCCACACAGTCACTGGAGCGTGATCAAACACCAGTCTTCATTTTGGTCCCAATCTCTGAACCTGTCTTCTGGGCTGTCTCAAGTCTCAGTCTTTCCAGGGTTTTATTTTGTTTTGTTTTGTCTTGAGATAAGGTCTTATTATGTAGTCGTGGCTGTTCTGGAACTATGTAGACTAAGCTGGCTTTGAACTCATAGAGTTCTGTCTGCCTCTCCCTCCTGAGTGCTATGATTAAAGGTGTGTTCCCCCATGCACTGCCAGCAATTTATTTTGTGGAGATGTGATAAGAAATAAGAACAATTATACAAAATGAACTCAATGGCATCTTGGAGGTTCTTTGCCTTATAGTCCATTTTTTTTAGATCATACAGGTCCTTTCTATATATATTATGACTTCCAGATTTGTGTTTTTATGGGACTCCTGTGTGTGCCGACATATGTGTCTATTTTCTGGTGCTTTTTCTTCTGTTTGTTTTGCCCTGGTCCAGTTTGCTTATGTTTTATCATATCGTATTTTATGTTGTTATTATTCTTTAGATGCCTGGCTATTTTCTAATGAGAGACAGGAAGGGTATGAAATCAAATGGGAAGGGAGGTGCAGAGAACCTTGGAGGAGTTGTGAGGAAGAGAGACTATAATCAGAGTATCGTGTGTGGAAAAAAAACTATTTTCAATAAAAGAAAAGAGAAAAAAGAAGTAAGAACAATCAGGAAATGGAGGGGAATGCTTATCATTATGACACCTCTCCCAGTGAACAAATCAGAGAATGGAAGTCAATCATCATCCCATGCATTTTGTGGAAAATAACCATGCTGTCTTAAATAAAATGAGCTTTGCTTCCTCAAATGTATTGGTTTACTATTATCAACCAGACAAAGGCAATAGCAAGAATAACCACGAGTATAAAATTAGTACTGAAAAACTCAAGTCTGTTTAGTAGCTCTAACCCTTTAGAAGTTTTTATAAGCATCTTTCCACCGACAAAGGCCTGGACTCATTTATTTCCATGAATTTTCTAGGTCAGTTACTTGACTACAAATTACTTGTATTTAAGCTAGGTGTTTTACATTTTTAACCTGTTTCTTTAACAAATGCAAAGTTATTATACCAGATGGCTTGAGCTTAGCCTAGCTGTATCTTCCTACTTATAAACAATCTGTATTCCTTTTGCTTACTCCATACACACCTTCCAACCCACACTGATATTTCTTTTTTGTTTTTTGTTTGTTTGTTTGTTTGTTTTTGGTTTTTTTTTCCTGTTGTTGTTGTTGTTTGAGACAGGGTTTCTCTGTGTAGCTTTGCGCCTTTCCTGAAACTCACTAGGTAGCCCAGGCTGGCCTTGAACTCACAGAGATCCTCCTGGCTCTGCCTCCCGAGTGCTGGGATTAAAGGCGTGCGCCGCCACCACCTGGCACCCTTTTCTTTCATGAAAATGGTAACCACACACTTTTCTTTACTGTTCTATGTTATAGTCTTGTTTTGTGTTTATGTTAGGTCAAAAAAGTCTGCATGGAATTCTATACAATTTTTCTAGACTATGATTGATAGTTTGTATCGTTTTCAAGATAGAACGAATGATTACCTTAATGAGTGATTTATCTATATCAAAAATATATATAATTTTGTCTTCTAACCTGGCTGCATGTAATGAGTCGCAGGTACCCTCTGACCTGGCTGCATCTACAGGGAAGCAGATGCCCTCTGACCTGGCTGCATGTAGAGTGGCAGGTGCCTTCTGACTTTGCTGCATGTAAGGAGCGGCAGATGCCCTTTGAGGTTTATTTTTCCTGTAGGAAAAAGAGGATTCCAAGCTCAAGAGAAAATGCAATTTATTAACTAACCTGGAACACCCTGGTATTTTTACATTTGACCAAATCCCACCACACTCTTGGACTGCTTTCTCCCTGCCTCTCTAGCTCCTTCTGCAGTGTGCCAGCCTTAGCATCTGTCCTGCAGTTGAGCATCCTCTGGACACTAAAGTTGCTGACAGTCTGTAATTCACCAGTCATCCCACCTCCAAGCTCCCATTTCTGTTCATAGCAGTCTAAGGAAGGAAAATGTCTTTCTACCAGCATCTCTACGCTAGAACAAAGAGTCCTGACTGGTCCCACTGTTCTACATGCTCATTCCTCTACCAGCTGCTGGTATGACAAAGGCTATCATGGTTGGAAGGGCCTTTATAAAATATCTATCCTTTGGCTAAAATGGATTGTCAAAGTACTAAAACAAATATGTGTTG